AGGGTGCAACAAACTGCTGGAATGTATAGGGCCAAACATATGTGATTTTAAACTGGAACAGATATGAATTCAGACAGAATAGGTTCAACACTGTTTCAAACAGATAACTGCTGGGCAGTTTTAATCTGTTGGAAACTGACTGTAGCAGTTTTAAACCTGTCTGGGAAGAACTGAATCTGTTCAGAACTTCTGGGCAGTTTCAAATAGTTGGAAATTGGACCGGTGGAAGCTTGTTTGGACAGAAAAATTTGGTGCAAAAATTAAATTAATTTCGTTTTGAAATTCAAATAATTTTTCCTGCAAGTATTTGAAAAACATTTGTCCAAAAAATTAATGTTAGAACCGACTCGACCCACATTCGCGCCTAGCACGGCTCGACCGGCCGGTGGACGGCGACGGCGGCGGCAGCAGCACGTGTGTGTGGTGGTTTTAGCCAAAGTTCACTTTGTCTATAACTCCTCCATTTTACAAAATTGGGATGCCCCCTAAGGCCCAACCCAAGTGTTGTCACCTAGAACTTATATATACACATAAATTCTCTTAAGTTTCCCATGTGGGATAATCATTTCAAGGAAACCCAGATTTTACTTCTTTAATTGTCCATTCCACGAACCCGAAAACGACGTCAACTTCCCATTCACTCATAAATGGTTTTGACGAACTGTCTTCACCGTGTGACTTGCCATGCAGCAAGGAACACGTCACCTCTTCGGACCCACCCCAAAAGACGTTTGGGGCCTACTCAATTTTGGGATCAAAGTTGGCCCAAAATAAGCCTTATAAAAATCAATTTTTCAACATTTTACTTGTTCAATTTTTTTTTGGTAAACTAAAAATAATAAATTATAAACGTTACCAAATGACACCTTATAGTTTAGGGTTAAGCTTCTCTCATGTTGGGATCTCAACATAAGAGAACTTGAGAGATCCATGGAGTCCACCATAGGTCCCGTTTAATAGAATATTCATAAAAAACTAAGATGATCGGATATTGACAGCTATATGTTTGAATTAAGGGTGTTCATGGTTCGGTTGCGGCCAGAAAATCTCCAATCCTAGTTCGGTGTTGATCAGAAGACCTTCAATTCGCCATCCGTCCTTCGAATTAGCGGATTAGAAAATATCAATCCTCATCCGTTCGCCGGATTGACAGATGCGGATTGAGCGGATTAGCGGGTGGATGGAAATCGGTTTGGTGGTTTAAACTTTTACAAATTTTGAACATAATACAACAATTTGTCAACATATATATATATATATATATTTTTATAACAATCCAATTTAATGTAACTAAAAGATTATTAAGTAAATTGTCAAATACCAATAATAAATACATATAAAAAAAAAAACACATGCATTATCAAAATTATTTCATTACTTTTCTTTTTTTAAAAAAAAAAACTATTTATTTTGTTTTTTTAAAAAAAAAACAAAATTAAGCCTTATATTTTTCACATAAAAATACCAAATATCAACACTTGCCATTTGATAAAAGGATTTCCAAATTGAAAACACAACAGAATATCTAAACTCTTTTTTCAATTGAAAATACAAACAAACTATCTAAAAAAATTAAAAATACAAAGACTTATAAATTACTAGGGGTGCTTGCGGTTTGGCAGTTCGATTGCGGCCAAAGGAATTTCAAATTCGCTATTCGTCCAAAACTAGACGGATTGAAAAAAATCAAACTGTCCACTCATTATCACGCATCTGTCCAAAATGCGACAGATCGGTTCGGTTCGGTTCGATTAATTTGAACAAATCAGAATATCTACTCCTCATCTTTAGTACACATAATAGTTTAATATCAAAGTAAATTATATACAATAAATATAATATCAAATTGGAAAACATAGTGTCTGATAATTGTTGGAAATAAATAATATGTTTTTGATAATATTAGTTTAACTTTCCGTATTTTATCTATCCATACTTCTCTTGTAGGGTTCAATTTTAAAGTCGCACCGTTGATCTAAATCGTCGACATTATAAATACTGCAGTAAAAGTTATTCATACAAAAAATTAATTTTATTAGACAACTATAAACATATAAATAAATAACATTTTATTTTTAAAAATGAATGTTTAAGTTTACAATTACATTTGTTATTCATTTTATAAAATATAATGTGATTTTTTCCCCCTATATTTATAAATGTCTAATGAAATTTATTTTTTATATAAATGACTTTTATTATAAAACTCCAAATCATCTATATGAATTTAAAATTAAATCCCATAATAAGAATATGAAGAGAAATGAAAGGAAATTTATTCCTTAAAATATGTGTCATTAGAGCACATGTTAATAATGATGGTACCTACTCTCATTTATATAGGGAATATAAAATATTAAGTAAAAATAAATATGGTGATTTTAAAAAGGACACTTAGGCGAATATTCTGAGAGTAATGTTATATGTATTAATTAATGTACTAATTAGTATATCAATTAATGATGTAATACAATTTAAAATATTTTTAATATTTGTAATTTGTATAATAAGTAGGGTCAATAAGAATGTCATAACTAGTATTGGTACATTAGTTAATACACTAATTGGTGTATATACTGAACTTTTCTTATCTAAAAGTCTAGGCATTATTTTAGAAATTTTTTATTTTTACACACTTAATTATTTCAGTGCACACAGTTAATGAAATACTATTTTAATAGTAATTATACCATAAACTAAAATGACCATAATGGACATCACTAATACTCATAATATTATATGAAAATATTTTCTGTACACATCTTTTAAAAATAAAAATAAAAATCTTAATGTACACATTTTGAGTAAAAAAAAATTAAATCATAATTTTTTCATTATTGTCACTTTGCTTGATACACACTCTATACTTCTCTATTGCTTGCAAATCAATACTCTCATGACAATTCTCATATTATTTTAATCTCTAAATTTATACTTTATTAGTGATGAAAATATTAGTTTTTTGCCCTTTTGCGTTTTTCAATCGGACAACCAATGCTGAATTATTTCATTATATTTGGACATTAACGGCCGAATTAATTCATTATATTCAGACATCAACTGCCAAAAGTTTTCTTTATATTTTTTTCGAAACAAATTTGTTGTACTAATCACTTTTATTCGGAAGTTAAGTTTTGAATTAAATGTATAATTTCGAAAAATTAGTGTCAAAATCTCCAAATCGAAAAATAAAAAAAATAAAAAAAAGGTGGGAAAGGAGAGTTGAGTGGTAGGTAAACAATGATTATGAGTAAGGGTATAATTGTAACGTTTAGTATGTGAATTGAGAAAATTAATTAATAATCAAATAAATAAGTGTGTGTCGTGGAAATAAAATTTCCCATTATTTTACTATGCCCATAAAATACAAGTCATTGTGAAATGACCAAACTACCCCTATTATATATTTTCCACATCAGATTATACGGAGCAAAACGAGGTAGAGAGAGATGATGGAAACGAAGAGCAAGGATCCTCTAGAGTTTTTTTTTCTAAAGTTTCCTAGAGTGGTGCATTGTGTGGTTGAGATTTAATGATAAGTCACATCAATTTTTCAGCATTAAATCTCAACTACATAATACACCACTTTAGGAAACTTTAGGAAAAAACACTCTAGAGGATCCTTGGTGGGAAAGGAAACCAAAATCATATGATCATCTCTCCCAGCACCCCCCGGTCTCTCCTCCAACACGACGCCGTCGCCTCCTCTTCCTCTCCGTCCTCTGCTGCCGCCACTGTCACTGCCATGACCACGATGGATCCGTCGCCGTCGTCTCAATCAATGTTCTCGATCACCCCCAGCTTCGCTGCCGGAAATCCAGATCCGCCGTATTCCTTTGGCCTTCAACCGCCTTACTCCGCCTCCTCCTCCGCTGGCGGTGGCAACCTCTCTTCTCTGTGTTCATAAATCTCAGATCTAGACTCCAACTACTTCAATGACGACTCCTTCTCTCTTTCCTTTTTTCTTCACTCAGCTTCACAGTCACACTTCTTCCTCTTCTCTGTGTTCATAGATCTTGGATCTAGTCACATATCTCTGTCATGAGTGTGAGTCTTTCTTGGATTTCTACTTTTTTAACCATATCTCATGCTCTCATTGTTTTCTCATCCTAGAGCTCTAAATTTGAACGAATTTATTTTTATCATCAGTTACTTTGGTACAGGTTTTGTTTTTTTCTTTGGGTTATTACATCACTAAATGGACTTCAAATTGAATTTTTAGTCTTGCAGTAGTTTCTTTAAATGTAGGTTTTTTTTATTCAAGTTATAGGTTTTTGTCCAAAATGCAGTCCATGCATTTAGTGATGATTCTTATTTTTTGTTTTTGCTGCTCAAAACATATTCTGATTTTAGCTGAGCTGCTCATATTGTGATATTTTACATTACTATGGTGGTGGTTGGTGAGAAGTCAAACACATCAAGTGATGTTTGGGTTTTTGGTTTTCATGTCTACGTTCATTTTTTGGCCTTCTTATTGCTTGCTAAGATTGTCTCTCTTTTCATTGAATATAAAATTTTAGCAGGTTCCACATTGGTGTGCTTTCAACTAATAATATCTCATTTAACAGTGCCATTTCACTGCTGGAAAATTCACTTTTAGCGGCGTTTTAAAAACGCCGCTAAAAGTACTAAAAACGTCGCTAATTCTTTTTATGACGTTTAGTACCAAACGCCGATGACGCGGCCGTCGCTATAACTTTATGACGTTTGAAAAACGTCGTTATATTAGTAAAAAATGCCGCCAAATGTCCTACTAACTGTACTATGACGTCACTATGACATTTAGCGACGTTTTTGAAAACGCCGTCATAGACATTTATACATTTTTAAAATCTAGCCGTTGGGGTGGGATATAGTGACGTTTTTAAACACCGCCATAGCCTTTTTTTTTAATTTTTTAATTTTGTTAATTTTACATGGTTGAACAAAAAAAAAAATACCTGTCAAACTAATAATTGATGTTTATTAAAATAATAAATAAACTAAGCTTGAAAACAAAATTAAAAATAAAAAACAATACATTGCATACCTAAGAATAGCAACAATTTAGACTTTAAATACATCAATTAAAATCAAAATGGTCAAGAAGTGTAATTTGCCCAAAAAAATTAAAAAGGAATAAAAAGCACACTAATATGGCTTATAATATTAAAAACATCTGAAATTAGATAATCATTTAGCTCTTCACTTGCATCATTCAGCAAAACATCAGCTATATCTTTTGCAACTTCTGATCTGCCTCTGTTCTTCCTTTTCGCTTCGATGATTTTATGTACTAATTCAACCATTTTCTTCTTTGCCTGAAACAACCCATCTTCAAATTTATTATTAAAAATGTTAATTTCCACAAAAATATTTTCCATCAAAACAAATGGGGCAAAGTTTACTCGAGACAGAACAAATGGGAAACTCTAAATGTATATGGCATACAATTATCATTATTTTTTTAATATTTAGGACATACTAAAGTGAACTGGGATTAAAATTTACACCTACCACTCTCTTGGCAGAGGCAAAGTTAATAGGTGATTGTGTTTGACATGTGGTGAATGCCTCATTAAGTTTCTATGAAAAGTAGCATGGTTCATCCTTTTAGTATCAACAACAGTTTGTCGCAATGAATCATTCTTTATGGATGCAGAAACAAATAGAGATGTTGGCTGTTTGGTTGCTTTCAAATACTACTGAAGTCTGAAATCAATGTTATCTCAATAGCAGATCCTAGTTCAGTTAGCCATCATCTGCTTGATCTCAGTTATTATTTATCCAATTTATTAATTCAAGAGAAAATTGCAAACCTATTGCATAATTTGTGGAAACTCAGAGCAGAGAGTTTTTCTTCCATGATCATCAAATATCTTCTCCAAAGTAATGTCTTGAAGGGCGACCAAGGTTGTCTCAAGCATGTCAAGACCAGCCTGGTTAACAAAGGTGAAAACTGGCAATGCCTGCATGTACAGTTAATTGTAAAGATAATAAGCTTGTAGAAGCAGCGTAATTAAAAGCTATCTAATTTTTGTATTTTAGGGGTCTAAACTAACTGGGATTTTTAACTGTGACATATCACCCTCTATTCTGTATTAACTGAGTTTTTTTTTGACAATCAATACAAGGGGAATAGGGGAAGCAAAGCTGCACTCGTGGCAGTAAGACTTAAACCCAAACATTACATCTACTAAGGGAGTGCCTCATCCATTAGGCCAATCCCTTCGTCCTTAGCTTAACTGGTTATTTAAACTCTGGCAAAACACAAATCTTTCAGCTTTTTGGAAGTCCAATTACCTTTTAAATTTGAAGCTGTGAATAATAAACAATTAAAAATAATAGCATAGGAAGACAATTCAAGACCCATGTCACAGAGAGAGAGAGAGACAGAGAGACAGAGCTGAAAATTTTAAGCCACATACCTTTAAAGAGCAGCACATAATAGCATCTGTGTGATGCCAAAGGGTTTTGAGGGTGGTTTCACTTCCTTCATTGCTAGACTTGAGAAGCTCTACTCCCAAATAACACCTGTCAAGAAAGAAAGAACACACCAAGGACCAGTGAGAGCAAAAAAATTTATTTTAAGCCCCCAAAAAGACCAATTGCTACACTTCGGGACAACGGAATTCAAAAACTAGATTTTTAAAACTCTTCTTGATTTGACCTATTAAATAGAGTATGCAAAGTTCAGAAATTTTGTGTTCATTGGCATCCATCTACGAACACACTATTACAATCTAATCCAATAATGCCACAAGGAAGATATAAAACTTTAAACATCAAAGTCATGCTCCACTGTACCTTCAAATGCAAATTCAAATGCTATTGTCATCACAGATCTTGTACTGCCACCATTAGAAGTATAATCATTAGATGCTTTATTTCCAGCCGGTCTAATCTCGAGAGCAGAAGCAAGGTCAAGGGTATGATTTGGACTGGAAGCTTCCTACAAAATGTCCCAGTTCATCAAATAAATGGAAGTCCAAAGAAGAGTTTAAAGTAGAGAAAAAAGAGAAAGAATGATAGCCGAATACAGCAACTATAACGTAATTCTAGATGTTGACCTTGCCAGAATCGATTCCAATGGAATCCGGACCATGAGAAATAGCAACGATTCCAATGGAATCCGGACCAGGCTAAGCATAAAAGAAAGCAGTTAGTTTAGAAAGAGACCGATCATCAACTCGATTTTTAACATAACAAATGCATTATTAACCCTGTCAATACCATGAGTAAATACTATCCTAGTGTATAATGCTTAACCAAAAATTGAGAAATGACAGAAACTATCCAGTATACACATTTTGTGTGTCCTGAAATGAAACAAATACTATAATTAATCGGATCATGTCCCGCATGTATCATAACATTCAGTAAACTTGTATAATTCATTAGTTTAACAGCTGCATAAATTATGTCACCATAAGCACATCACAACACAGTTTGATAAGAAGCAATACATCGACACTGACACTACATAGCCACTCATACGTAATAGCATAGCTTGCTACAAAAAGCTTAACAAGCCATCTGTCATCGCATGAACAAAAGAAAAAACTAGCAAAATAAATTTCAAGCCCACTAAAAGAAAAGATCACACATTTCTGAAGTGTACCAGCAGGTTCTACAGACATCTACTGCAATTAAATAGACAACACCTTTTGAACACTAGTTACCTCACTTAAGGTCTTAACAGATATATTTATTTACATACATCAAAGATCAAAGATTGGCTTTTGAACACTAATTACCTCAATTAAATAGACAACACCTTTTGAACACTAGTTACCTCACTTAAGGTCTTAACAGATATATTTATTTACATGACAATGCAGGGATGATTGGCTTGAAACATCAAAGATCCCCCAATCCTTTGTTTCACAAATGACTTGTAATGAGCTTCAATGGAAATAATGTGCAGTAATGCCCATCTAAATGTGCATTAACTTACATGCATCACACTAAATCAAGTCAAAGTAATATGATGAACATACAAAACTATTGAGAGATTTGCTTATACTTAAAAGTCCTGAAGGATTAAAAGCAGGAAATATTAGCTACTATAATGCATGTAAAACTTATCAGCATTTTTCTAGCTAATTAAAATAGTAGAAGATTGCCAATACAAATGCAATTAAAATGAGTGAAAACACACAGCATGCCTTATAGTAAAATGTAATTAAAATATTACTGTGTCCCAAGGAATTCTTTGGATATCTTTACCTCTCCTAGCTTGAGTAGCAGAAGTATCTGCCATTTTATTATTCTAAGTAGGTACCAAATAGTTAGTATTTCATATATCCTGAGCTTGATGGGAAAAAACATCTAAAAGTTACTTGAAAAAAAGAGAGAAAAAACATGCCAATAGAAGAGAAATAAACAAAGAAAAGTGGTAAGACTTGCAGTTAGATAGCATATTATGACAACAAACTATGGTTCAAACTTTATAAAGTTTATATCACAAACCAAGTAGTCATATTCATCATCAAACGGAATTTGAATATTATTATTCTAATTATGGGTTTATATGGACTTATATGGACCCTGCCAGTACACAAACACGGAGAAGAAGCGATTGCCGATGAAAATCAACAATATAAATAGAACCAGCGTGAGTGCCAAGAGAGAAATCGATACCTCGCTAGTGTAGATGGTGGCGGCGGTGGTGCTTCGAAATCGAGAGAGAGACATCGAAATCGCTCTGAGATGAAATCAAAGATGAATCTCTGAGAGAGAGATCTAGAGTGAGAATCAAAATCGCAGATCGATCTGAATCGAAATCGCGGTGGCGGTGCAGACCGATTTGAAATCGATGAATCTGTGAGATTTGAATCGGTGAATCTGTGAAATCGATGAATCGGTGAATCTCGCTACCTCGCGGGTGAAGATGATGGTGGCGGTAGAGCTTTGAAATCGGTGAATCTGTGAGATTTGAAGGTGAGATTCAAAATAAGGGTTTAGAGATGATTGAGAGAGAGGCGAGGTGAGAATTTAATGTTGGTTTATGTCCGAAGGGCTGAGGGTTTACAAAAGGCTTATATTCTTAGATTCCAAATAGCGCGTGTGGGGTACCGCATTTGGAGGATTTTAGCTGAGCTGCTCATATTGTGATATTTTACATTACTATGGTGGTGGTTGGTGAGAAGTCAAACACATCAAGTGATGTTTGGGTTTTTGGTTTTCATGTCTACGTTCATTTTTTGGCCTTCTTATTGCTTGCTAAGAGTGTCTCTCTTTTCATTGAACATAAAATTTTAGCAGGTTCCACATTGGTGTGCTTTCAACTAATAATATCTCATTTAACAGTGCCATTTGTATGACCCCATGATGTTCTTCCCATTGAAGATTAGGTTGTTTGTAGAAGGGGACAAATCTGTTATTAATTCATTGCCTGAAGTTGTTGTTGATGATGATAATGTCGATAATAATGAAACAGATTAAAAAAAAAAAAAAGACTGACTGATAGATCAGAACTGTTCAAATGGTGGAGAAAATCTGAACAGAAAAAACGGTAGAGAAATTTGAACAGATAGAAAATTGTAAGATAAAAATTCAACTGTTAGAAAAGAAAAAAAAATTGAACAGAAAATAAAAATTGAACAGATAAAGGGACAAAATTGAACAAATAGTCAAAAATGTTGAAAATTTAGAAAATTTGTACACATAAAAATCTTGAACAAATAAAAAATTAGACAGGTAAAATTTGGATAGATGAAAATTTTGCACAGATAAAATTTGACCAGATAGAAAATTTACACAAATTTTTTTTTGAACAAATAAACAAAAAATTGATCAGATATAAAATAATTTGAATAGATAGTCAAAAAAATTAACAAATAAATTAAGAGATAAAATTAAAAATAAAATGTCATTCAAAACAAGTAAAAAGACCACTTGCCAAATTATTTCATAAACCTCTCACTAATAAAAAAAAAATATTCTAAACCTAATGCCTAATGCCTTAGATACACTCTAAATTAGATTTATCACCGCTAGACTATTTTTTACATGGACAAAAATATCCTCATTTTTTGAATAATAAAATTAAGTTATTTCTAAGATTCAAATATTAATATGTAATGTCAACTCAAATAAATAAAACCACCGTGTATTAAGAAATTGTTTTTTAAAAAATATAAAGTAAAACAACAATGATTTAGACCACTAAAAAATACATCACTAATAGCACTAATATATTGGGAATGGCAAAAAAAATAATAAAAAAATTAAAACAAGGCATAGAAAGTGGGCGGAGCCCACTGCCACATCATTAGTGCTCCCTCTAGTGATCCCTTTTTAGTGCTCTCAAGCATTTTTCAAAGTAAAATATGTAGAAGCTCATATTGTGTTGAAAATTAAAAATAATTAAAATAAAATAAAATAATAGTACCATCTTAATTAAAAACAAAAATATTAATATTTCAAAAATCACCATCTTAATTTATTTCGAATTATATAATCACCATATGTGTTACAAATTAAAAAATATACTAGAAGGGAAATTAAAGGATGAAATCTATCTATCTATATCTATGTAACGCCCCTAAAAAATAAACCCATTATAACATACATTCACGATAAATAGAAGAGATTTCCTATTACAATCATCAGAGTATTCTTACAAAAAGTATTACATGTTGACAATAAAAGTAAATGCCCTATGGACTTACAACTTTTCAAGTCAACTCTTGGTTACAAAAAAGAGAGTACTAACTCTACACAAAAGAAGCCCTTGGCTGATATACATGTAATACAACAAAACGACAAAAACAAATCTGACAGCCTCACGGCTCCCAAGCTACGTCTTTGGAGGTGGCATAACACCTGCACCTGAAAATGATGTCTCATATAGGGTGAGCCAACGCCCAGTAGAGATATTCTAAACATAATATGAGCAATAACTAAAACATTAGCACTTGATAAAAGTTTAACTCATATAAACCAACATACAGTACAA